GGTACGCTGCCGCCACGTGGGGTGGGGGAAGTGTATGTATACTGTATTGGGGCTAACGTCAAACTTGAAAACTCTTTTCGCATAATGCAGCTCCCGACTCTGGATTTTGCAAAGAGTCCCAGAGCTTGTGACAGGATGGGTGGCCTGATGATTGGGGTTGGTTTTTGGTTGTTTTTTTTTTATTATTTTGTTTTGTTTTGTTTTTCCAACAGGTGCTTTTTTTTAAAAAAAAAAAAAAAACTATTAATAATAATAAATTAGCAGAGATGGGTTTGTGTGTGTGTGTTGAGCCAAAAGTCTCAAATGAAAAAACTCAAGGTTTCCTTCATTCCTCTCTGGTGCGGTGTTTTGTTTTGGTTTTGGTTTGTTTTGGTTTTTTTTTTATATTGACATTTCTTGCTGGTTGTTTTTATTGGGGGAAGCGTTGAAACCCAAAACCTGTGCCCCCCCCCTCCCCCCCCTCGTCCCCACCAGACTCTTTGTGGAATTCCTTTTTGTATCAGAAGCAACAGCAACAATAAAATTATTTTGGGTTAAGTGGGTCTGTGTTTTCCTCCTCGTCGGGGCGCAGCGGCGGCGGCGGCACCCTGTCCGACTGCCGGCGCCGAGGGGCGGTGGGAACGCTGTGGTGGAGACGGCCTGGGACCTCTCCAAGCTCCAACATGAGGGAGCCCAACCTGGTTTCTTGCCCGTCCTCAGGGAAAAGAGTTCCACTCCTACACCTCACCCAGCTCTCCCGTCCCTGCCTGTCCCAGCACCCATGGGTGCCCACGGGGTCCTCCCCGAAGCATCGGAGCAGAAGGCAGATGAGGGAGGAGGAACGGAGGCATCACCAAAGTCTCTCCTGATGCTTTGCTCTCTCCCCACAAGGAGAGCGAAGGGAGAGTGATGCCAAAGGTCCCAGCCTGGAGCCCACCTCGCTGAGCCCAGCGGAGGGGTGGCTGCACCCCATCATTGCTGAGGAGAGGTTACAGGGACCAGGACAGGGATGGGGCGGACAAGAAGGGCAGGGGGAGAGGAGGCAGAAGGGATGCAGGAGAGCGGAGGCAAACCTCCTGTTAGCACCGATCCTGCCTGGTGCTGCGCTCAGGGAAGACACTGCTTCTGCCTGGGCTGTGGCCACCCTTGGCTCACCCGCGGGAGGAGGAGCACCACGCATGCCGCTTGCCGGTGGCTTCGCCGAGCGGTGGTTGTGCTTGTCCAGACTATGGCATGTGCAAGGTGCGCGATGGTACAGGCTCTCGGCCGGAGATGGTGCCATGCGTCCAAGCGTTCAGGGTCCAGCTGGTTGAGTTCAGCTCAAACCCAAGCTCCGGGCTGATATTCTGGTTTTTAGCGAGTTCTTCTTGGCCTCCCAGTCCGGACGCTGAGCCATGTGCCACAAGAGGGCAGGCAGTGCTGCAGCATCCCTGCGACTGGGAGGGAGCCCACGGCCTTACTGGGTGGTAGGAGAGCAGGGACACCGCTGGGTAGGGGGGGACAACCGCATGGTGAAACCTGGGCAAGGGCGAACATGCCCCCATTGAGGTCAGACAGCTGGAAACTGTCCCCCAAAGGGCTTCCCGGGCTTGGCAGTAGGTGAGCGGTGGCAGTCTTGTGTCGGGTGATGGGGAGCGGTGGCGGAGGAGGCGCAGAAGCAGGTTGTGTTGGGTACCCACCTCCTGCCAGGCACGTCTCTGCAGCACCTCCTCGCCTCTTCCTCCATATCGCTGATGCGACCCTGGGGGACTCTCCAGGGATGACCCGTACCCACACATCCAGAAGGTCTCTCTGGATGCAGCAGAACCTACCGGGCTGCTGCCTGCTGTGCCTGCGCGGACCCAGACTGATGTAGAAGACACAATCATCAGGCACAGCCCATGGATCCCGCAGCGGACGTGGCCAGGCTGGAACAGTCCCTGCCCAGCAACACCTGGTGCCATGCTTTGGCCAAGGGGCACCTTCCGCATGTCCCTGACAGAGCACGTGTCCGGGTATGGGGCACCCACAGCTCCGTGGCCTGGTGGCAATGCTCCTGTCCCACATGGCCCCCCAGCCCCTGCGGAGCAGCTCCAGCCTGTGCTGGGAGATGTGGGGATCTTGGCTCAGCCAGAGAGGGATGGGGTAGCCCACCGCTGCCCGGCCAGCGGCCGGTACGCCTCCGAGAGCCTGCTGGGACGCGTCAAAGAGCAGAGGAAGAGCTGTGTGGGGTTAGCACAGTGCAGCTTTATTTCCACGGTGGGGGAAGAGGTTCTCCCCCCATGGGCTCCAATCCCTCAGTACAAACCTTCTCAGTGGCCCACAGCCGTAACCCACCATGGCTTTTGCTAGCCCTGTGGCTAGCTGCCGCACCCCCTACTCAACAGGCATGGTTCCCACAGAGGGGGCAGGAGGACAGCTTTGTTTTCCCCTCGGCTACTTACACAGCCCTTCTGCTACCCAGATGCAGGATGGCCAGGGAAGGACCGGCCACCCCCTGGACATGGGGAGGCCACTCAGCTCCTGCTGGAGCAGGGACTGGCCAAGGTGGGATGCCGGTGGGAGGCTGCCAGGTTTGGGCTGGCCGAGGAGCATCTCCCAAATGTCGTGTGGGGACCTTTGATCCCTCCTGGGATCCCAGCAGGGCCACCCAGGCGGGTCTGCAGGTAGCTGCATGACTGCACCTTGCTCAGACCATTTCCACCAGTTGGGCAGGGACAGGTCACTGCGGTGTAAAGCGGAGAGCAGGCTGCAGGGCCGGATGCCGAAAGGGGGCTGTGCATGGGGGTGTAG